AGATAATATATATTATCTAGTAATTAAGTTATTACTTGTACTATATACAAGTCACTCTCGTTATAGTGAAATAATCGGGCTGAGATTTTCTTCACTATAACGTGTCTACTAGTAAATTCACTATATCGAGAGGGTTTTTACATAAACTGTCTTCACTATAACAAGGTGGTTCACATAACGAGAGTTCACTATAACGAGAGTGACTTGTATTAGAATATATTATTTAGTTTTTTTAACCAGTAAATAATCGTTATTATTAGGTTCAATGGCAGAAATTAACTGAAAAAGAAGCTCAAAAGAAATATCGCCAAGCGAAAGGGTTTGGAAAATCTTTGTGGGCACTAAGTTTAGAGAATCTGGACAATTTCCTTGAGGAAAACAAAAATAATCTGGACCCACTGCAAATCGATAGCTTTCAAAACTTATTAAGTGGTCTTGATGAATTTTTGGAGGAGGAATCGATCGTATCTCTTAGCGAAAGTCATCATATAGAAATATTTTCTTCTGCAGTCTTGGAAAGTACTGATATTATTCGTGCAACTTTAAGCTTTCATAGAAAGCCAATATTTACAAACGTTATAATAAGTGGTTATAATAGAGAAAGTGTAATAAATTAGTATAGTTTAGTAAGTATCTTATATTTTTCATGTTTATCGAAAATAATAATAACAATAAATTTTGGTTAATAACTAATTATTCGGGTTTATCACGTGAATTTTGTGATATTTTAGAATTTTATCCAATTAAATTTTAAAAAATATCATAAAATTCAGGTGATAAACCCGAATTATTAAAATCGGTTACAACCTCTATTAATAACGATTATAAGCGAAAAAACTCTCGAAGTTAGAATATACTTTCATTTTTACTAACTTCGAGAGTAATATATAACTAATATATATTGTCTTTTAAGGTATTAATAATACTCAAGTTTTATAAAGAGATAAATAAAGAACCACTTGAACTCGCCTTAGTTCGCTGGTATGAGGAAGACGGTGAATTATGGGGATGTCCAAAATTAAAACTGCTCAAACATTATAGTTGCATACCGTTAGAGAGTGTAGATAGAACCATTCATATAATTTCAAGATTTAATAAACCGAACGAATATCTAGTGAACTGTTTTATGTTTTAATTAAAGTATATATCATAATTCATATTGGTTTTACTCCAAAATTAGCCAATAATAACGAGTATCTTCATATTTAATTATAGGTTGAAAGTAAGTTAAAAAGGCTGCTTTCCTGAAAATTTGCTTCTGAATTTCTCTAACCCATTATACAACCGATCGCTCATTGACAAAACCAATCATTCACTACCTGAAAACATCCGAATATCTCAAAAGACAGTGCCTTCTTTTACAGCTTAGCATAGTTGTTTTACTTATATTTTTTCTTATTTACTTCATACGTGGACTCTTTTATTGAGTACTTCGTTAGCATAACTTATTGTCAATAGTTCTTGTAAATGTTTATTTAAAAAAGTCCCTAGAAACAGATATGTTACGTATATAAATAATTATGCATAATATATATCGATGTTTAACAATTGTGCTAAAATAGGTTAGATTAAATTCGATAAACATAGTAATATGGAAATTTATCGATATAGATATATATCGATACATAACTTTATATCGATATATATCGTTTAATAATTAACCGATATTTATCGATTAATAGAAATATATCGAGATAAATCAAAATATCAGTACTAATCGATAATAGATCTTTATCGATTTATATCTATTTTATCGATATATATCGTTAATTATTAAACGATATATATCGATATAAAGTTATGTATCGATATATATCTCTATATAAATTTTGCTGATGATGTAGATTAAAAATCTGTTGTTAAACTAACTCATCGTTCCAATAAAGTGATGTGTATGTTGTAGATATTTTTTTTTTTACTCCATTTGTTAAAATTCTTAGACTTTTGGATCTTTTAATCCAAAAAGTACAAAATGATCCTTATTTTGATACATTCCGTATTTTTTCCAAACATCAATTGGTGTTTTACCGACAAATTGTTGTATTTCATTTTTATCTCTAAAAATCTACAAACTACATTAGTCATCCAAAATTTGCTGTAAAATAAGATAGTACTCTGACTCGTGATATGACATTAAAGATGATATATAACTAGAACTAGCATATAAAAGATCTTTTTGTAATGAATATTCTATTTTTAAGACTACAATAAAAAAATTATCAAATCTTATATATAATGAAAAAAAAGAAATATTAGTAAGTATTTCTGATATAATTTTTTCATTATAAAACCCAAATACTGCTAAACCCGAATGTTCAGTTTGAGTTTCAAATACTTTGTTATAAAATATATTGATAGTAGCTGAAGGAGTATCTTGTATATTACTAATTTTTTCACCAATTGAACATATAAAACCTAGTTGTAAAGGGTTTGAGGGCCTATTAACAATAGATAAAACAAATTCATAACTATTTATTTGAGTTACTAGATTCATATAAAGATGAAAAGAAAGAGTTAGTATGCTATTATTTGAAACTTTTAAATCTTGAATCTACTAGTCCCGAGCATATGGCCTGTAATGAAGATTTGAGTTTATTTGACCTTTATTTGCAAGCTATACTTGATATTTTTTATTTTTTGACATTGTTAATAAGATGATCTTTTACTATTCTACTAATATTATATTTTTACTATTAAATAACCATCATGTATATCTATTAAATGTCGATCATTTTTGACCCTTTACCTATGATTTGCCCCTTAAAGTATTTACTTTTAACTAAATTAAAGTTTAGAGTTATATGTAATCTTCTGCTTTCTTTTACTAGTTGGTTTGCTTTATTATTCTATTTGATATCTGCATAGCTTCTAACTTTTTTGAGCTCTAACTCAATATCTTTTTGCCTAACAAGTAATGTGATCTTTTCTAGAATTATTCTGTTATCTATTCTAATCTACTTACTATATTATTCAGTTTCATAAGCTTTAGATATACTCTTTATTGCTTACTCACTATTAGTGAGAACCCTAATTATTGTATTACATTGCACTACTAGTAAAACGAGCCAAATTTTTACTAATTCTGCTTTAGTTGATAATAGCTAGTTAACAACTCTTAAGTTTTTTATACTAATTATACTACTTTCTATCTGATCTATTTCTACTTATCCTACTCTCATATTTTCTCTATCTATTCTTTTACCTAAAGAACTATCTGTGTAGAATTCAAATACCTTTTTACCTCTTATCTTTATCGCTTTTGCTTCATCTTTTAACAATATTGCTAAGTTCATATCAAAATTCTGTATCTCTATTATTTCAAGTTTATATTCTTCTACAACTCTTAAACCTGTGAGAGGCTACTTATTTATCTTAATTTCTTAATAGTCTCTGCTTATAGCTACTAATATTAGTACAAAGTCTATTATTTTCATTCTCTAT